TTTTTTTTTTTTTTTTTTTTTTTTTTTTTTTTTTTTTTTTTCTGAAACAAGGTTTCTCGGTGTAGCTTTGGAGCTTATCCTGGCATTCGCTCTGGAGACCAGGCTGGCCTCGAACTCACAGAGATCCGCCTGCCTCTGCCTCCCGAGTGCTGGGATTAAAGGCGTGCGCCACCAACGCCCAGCTCACAGAGGCATCATTATCTTATGGTATTAAATCTTCTCTGAGAAGACCTCAGGGTCTGGCTTGGTGTGTACTTGTTCTGTAAGTATGAGTACCTGAGTTCATATTCTCTCCAGCTGTCTTTGTCACTGTTGCTGTGAAGAGCCACCATGACTGCAGCAACTCTTACAAAGGAAATTGGGGGCTTGCTTATAGGCTCAGAGGCTTAGTCCATTATCATCACACAGCAGGGAGCATGGTGCTGGAGAAACAGCTGGGAGCTACATCCTGACCAGCAGGTTGAGTGAGAATCTGGGCCTAGCATGGGCTTTTTAAACCTCAGAGCCTGGGGCTTGAGAGATGCCTCAGCTGTTAAGAGCACTGACTGCTTTTCTAGAGTACCTAGGTTCAATTCCCAGCACCCACATGTCAGTTCACAACTGTCTGTTACTCCAGTTCCAGGGGAAATCTAGTTGCTGCATCCTCACACAGACATACATGCAGGCAAAACACCAATGCACACAAAATAAAAATAAAATTTAAAAACACAGATCTCTGTGAGTTCAAGGCCAGCCTGGTCTACAAAGTGAGTTCCAGGGCATCCAGGGCTACACAGAGAAACTCTGTCTTGAAAAACCAAGAAAATAAAAATAAAGAAACTTCAAAGCCTACCTAGTGACAAACTTCTTCCAATGAAGATCTCCTAACTGTTCTAATCCTATCAAAAAGTTTCACTCCCTGGTGACTAAGCATTCAAACATATGAACCTATGGGGGGGGATTCTTTGTCAAACCAACACAGAAGCTCATGAGACTCAGAAAGTAAGCAACTCATAACACTCAGCAAGTTCCTGAAACTAATAAGATTTACCAGGTCCCCTTTCCCAAGGTTATAGAAGCAGTAAACTGCTAGGGGGTGGAGGGAGGAGGTGGCGGTCCTCTGACTTGTCCAATTGCCTACAAGTCACACAGAGTTTCAGGGATACAGCTTTTATGAGTCATCACCAAGGCTGGGGTGGGCTTCTTGGTGATGCAGGTGCCTTTAAGTCACCCATGCTCCTATAAGAAACCCCAACAGAGTCATTGGTTTGATAACTTGGACTTTGGTGGCATTGTTAGTTTGTCTTGTCACTGGTTCCCTATCTAGAATAAGCAGACTTTGGTTCATGTCTCCTCAGAAAAGTCTCATACAAGAGTGGTGGTGGCACACACCTTTAATCCCAGTACTTGGGAGGCAGATCTCTGTGAGTTTGAGACCAGCCCGGTCTACAAGAGCTAGTTCCAGGACAGCCTCCAAAGCCACAGAGAAGCCCTGTTTCAAAAACAAACAAACAAACAAACAAACAAAAAACAACAACAAAAATAGATCTGAAAGGGTGACTATCAGCCAGTTTAGCTGAAACAGCAAGCTTCCAGTTCAGCGAGAGACTATGTCTCAAGGTTTATGACAGAGCACAAGAGGGGAAGACACTAGATGTGCTGCTCAGGCCTTGGCATGCACACACACAGGGTGTGTATCCATACACTCACATGCATGCACCATACACACATGCTCCCCATGCACAAAATTCTCTGAGAACCACAGTTAATGTGATACAACTGTTGGCACAGAGGGATGTGAACTGAGGTTGGCAACTTATTTGAAATGCATTTTTAAAAAGATGGAACAAATGTAATAGCCTATCAACAGAAAATATAAGGCTGTCCATGCAGGGGCATTCATTATACATCTCTTTAACTTCTCTGAATGTTCTGAAATGTACATAGGCTCAAAAGAAGTTCTTCGTGCATGTGCTTGTACAGACCAGGGGCAGGGATAAAAATTCATTCAATGCCCTTTATCTAATACCATTGAAAGTGTTTATTTAAAAAAATATTTTCCCATTAATGATGTGATGAACATGTTTTTTGTTTCTTGGTTTCTCTTTTTGTTTGTTTGTTTGTTTTTTCATGTCTCTACTTCTATTTCCTTAGCCTGGATTCCTAAAATTTTGACCCACCCCTCATTGTCCATCAGTGTATACGAATACAAGGGAGAGGTCAGAAAAACTCCTTGTTTGAGGCAGTGTCTTTCTGTTTTGCTTTGTTTTTCTACAGCAAATGCCAGGCTAGCTGTCCTGAGACCTCCCAGGGACTCTCCACATCTCTACCTCCATCTCACTGTGGGACAGTGGAAGAGCCGCTGCTGATTCCACGTTGCGCCATCACAGCAACATGGCACTTTACCCACCAACCACCTCCCCAGCTCCAGTTGTTCACGTTTAAAGCCAAGGCCTTAGGTATCGTCTCCCAGGCTGGTCTCCAACTCTCTTTGTTGCCAAGGGTCACCTTAAACTCCTAAACCTCCTGCCTCTACCTCCCAAGTGCTAGGGTTACAAGTATATGCTCCCATGCCAGGCATCTAGACTGGCATTACTCATGCAAAAGACACATCGCTTTAAAAATAATGGGTGTGTGGAAGTTCTAAAATGATTTCTTTGTGTTTGTGCACACATGAACGAACACCACAGCACATGTATGGAGGTCAGAGGAGAACTTGTGGGAGTTGGTTCTTTCTTTCCACCATGTGTGTCCTGGGTATTGAGCACAGGTCATCAGAACTTGTAGCAAGTACCTTTACTGGCTGAGCTATTTTCCCAGCCCCTAAAACAATTCTTCATGTATCCTGGAAGACTGAGGTTGCATCATTTTGCATGTATATATGTTACCACGTTTCTTCCTTTTGGACTTTCTCTGTTTCCCCCTGATTATTTCCTCTTCTGCTGCAGGCGCCCTTTACCTAATGTGTAAGATTCACACTCTGGTTTAGTGTGATTTGATCTGGTGGAAGACCTACCTGTCTTTAGATGGTTACCTGATTGGGCGCGATTCTTCCTTTGGAGAGTCCGAAGGAAGGGGCTCAATGCTGGAAGTCTCCCTGTCTCGTGAAAGCATGTCTTTGATATCCCCATCTTTGGAAGATGGGATCAGCTGGGTCTTGGAGACAGAAGGTCCTACATCAAGGTCCTTGCCACTCCCAGGGCTGCTGGCACCTTCCTTTCTTGCTGAGGTGCTGAAAAAATGTCAGGGAAACACTAAAGCCTAGGCATGGGCAGTGAGAACTAAGACCCTAACATGAGACCTTGATAAAGCCTACTAAACCAAGCCACCTACCACATTCAACTTGCTTGCTTATTTTCTACATGTATTGTTTGTTTGAGACAAGGTCTTACTATGTAGGACCTATGTTCTGGCTGGCCTAGCACTCAGAGATCGGCCTGTCTCTGCTTCCTAAGTGCTAGAATAAAAAGAGCACACTACTACACCTGGAAGCCGGCAGCTGCTATCTTTAAAATAAATAAATAAATAAATAAGTAAATAAATAAATAAATAAGTGTATGTATGTGGACATGTGTATGAGAGCAGTGCCTTAGGAGGTCAGAGATGTCAGATGTTCCCGGAGATGGAGTTACTGGCAATTGTCAGCCACCTGACATGGGTTTGGGTACTTCTTTCTATTAGAGTAAAAGAGGCTACCTAGGTAACTGAGGAGATTTTGTCCTTGTCATCTTCCTGATGGGAAGACAGGAGTGTGATAGTATGCCCAGTTTGTGTGCTGCTGAAGATCAAAGCCAGGGCTTTGTGTCTTCTAGGCAGGGGACTCTACCAGCAGAGATACATCCCCATACCTCTTTCTAATTCCTTCCTTCCACCTTTTCTTCCCTTGTCTGTTCCCCTTTCTTCCTGTTTCCCTCTTCCTTTCCTTCCTTTTTTGGAGAGATGGTTGTAGCATGTACCCCAAGGTAGCTCACACCCAATTTTTTTTTTTAACTTTATTATTACTGTGCGTGAGAGTCCATGATGTGGGGATGATGTCAGAGGATAACTTTGTGGAATTTGCTCTCTTCTACTTCTGTGTAGTTCCACAGATGGGACTCGGGTCCTTATGCCTGTGTAGCAAGCACCTTTATTGGTGGAGCTACCTCACCAGCCTTGAATTCACAGTTTTATGGCCCCTCCCTCCTAGGTGCTGGGATTACAGGCGTGGCTAACACACTGCGCCCTTTTCTTCTTACAACAGGTTTTTCTGAGAGAACCAGACTTGGTGTTAAGTTATCACACAAATTCCCTGCAGCACGGCCTGGGACACAGCAGTCAGAAGGTAACCAGCTAGAGCTCTTGGCTCTGCTGCATGACTCCTGGATTGCATATAGCACTTGCCGACGACAATCCAGTTGGCTCATGCACAAGGACTGTATTCCCTAGCTTATCCTCCCAACATGGCCATTAGCTCTAATGCTGTCATGATTCCCATGGTAGGGACACAGAAACAGGCACAGATCAACTCTCATGCCTCACACAAGGAAGTCCCTTAGGGGTAAGAAGCACAGAGAAGTGGATGAGCTTAGGCCTCAACTCTGAAATCTGTGCTCTGCTCCTGCTACCTAGCAGGGCCTGAGCAGCAGACTGGGGGAAAATGCTTTCTCCAACTTGGACTTGAAAATGAGTCTTAGCTGGGTGGGATGGGGCACATCTACAATGTGAGCTTTTGGGAACATGAGGAAGAGGATCATCCTTGGCTGTACTGTGAGACCCTTTCTCACAAACCCCCAAAGCACAACAGTAAACTGCGCCTCACCTAAAATGTGAGTTGAGGATTTCGATGGCTTGGGGGACTCTCGGGGGAGGTATCTGTGGGGGTAGCACAGAAGGACCAGCAGGCACTCTGGTGCCCTAGTGTTGGCAGTGCTCTTCCTGCTCCCCACTACCCAACAGTGACAACACATTGGGAAGTAGTTCCATGAAAGGGAAACATTGGTTCCACAGGGGGTGCCATGAAGATGAGTGGTAACACTCAGGGTATGAGCCTGACCTGAACCCCACAGATTTCCTGGCACTGGTAGCTGAGATGCCATGGCATAGGAGAGGCCATGTTGTGCCCTCCCTCCACCAAGGAGCCTGTGTGCTAGGCTAGACTCTGCTAGGAGGCAAAGCAGAAGATCTCTCACCTGATCTGTTCTTTCCCTGTCTTCTTGGACTTGATTTTCTTCCCAGGTTTGATAGAAAAAGGGGCAACCCCAAGTCCAAAGCTTTGTCCATCAGGCTCACCTACTAGATGACCTTCTGCATCCATAAGCCCTGCCTGGACAGAGAGGTCAGGACAAGGGGTATGGGTTATATTAGAGGTTTGGGCCTCTCAGGATGCAAATGTTCATGGCCCAAAACTTGGGGGTGAGCATGTTTTCCATACACACCAAGATTTGGCTGCTGCCGCCAGCTGCAGGCAGTCCTTAGTAGAGCTGTCCCTGAAACCTAGAAAATTAATGTCTACTCACCCACCCCTTTTTTTTAAAACAGGGTTTCTCTTGTGTTGCAGCTCTGTCTGTCTTGGAACTTGCTCTGTAGATGGAGCTATAGACCAAATCTGTAGATCATATCTTGAACTTACAGAAATCTGCCTATCTCTGCCTTCTGAGTAAAGGTGTGTGCCACCATCACCAAATACTCTCTAAGGATCTTAAGACCTAGTTCCAACCTGGTTCCAAACATTGACTATATATTATATATATTATATATATATTAGCTATATGTTTTAATTTATGGATATCATCCTTAATGCAAAAGTGGTATACCATTTTTTTTTTCTGTGTATACATATAAGTGGGTGTGGAGACCAGAAGTCAACCTTGAGTGCTATTATTGCTGGGTCTCTCATTGGTCTGGAACTCACAAACTATGCCAGGCTGGCTGGCCAGCAAGTCCAGGGATCTGTCTCTCTACACCTTCCCAGCGCCTGAACATCAAGCCTGCCCCACCATGGCCAGCACGTCAAGCCTGCCCCACCATGGCGAGCACGTCAAGCATGCTCCACCATGGTGAGCATGTCAAGCATGCACCACCATGGCGAGCACGTCAAGCCTGCACCACCATGGACCCCCCCCATCGTCCAGTCCCCCATCTATACAGCCACATTACATGCTGGTATATCAGCTCTAAGATAATAACACCTGTAATGTTTAATAATGTCTGTAAGCCTGCATGAGAACTGTGCTGTCACCTAGGTTCATTCTAACAGGATCCACGAGGTCAAATGACCAGTCTGATGCCAACCAGTATGAGCTTCTCAGGCAATGGGTAGGTCTGCACCCAAATAAAGTAAGTGCTCCTTAGGGTAGCGGATATGGAAGATGATCCGTGAGGCCCAGCTCTGGGCACAGTCATAGCTGGCACTCCAGAGAGTTCCTGTCCAATTAATGAACTTAGAAAACATTCCCCAGGGACCTGGGCACGCCTTAAACACTCAGATCTGGTTCCTCATGTAGCACAACAGAGAATGTTCTACACACACACACACACACACACCTACATACACAAGGGTTTTCTTGAAGGCCAGGGCCCAGGCCATGGAAAATGAAGAAAACGAGGCATGGCTGGGAGACTCACCTCAGAACCACCTTGAACTGGTTGAATACCTCCTGGATCTGTCTTAGATTGATTATCTGGCAGGAGGAGAGCGAAGCCAAGTTTAGACAATGGAACCTAGGAGCTAGGCTGTGTCTAAGCAGAGAAATCAGGAGCCCTTGGCTGACTCAGGACAGTGTCATTCTGTGTAGAAGCCTCTCAGCGGACACTGGAGAGAGGGCTCAGCAGTTAAGAGCATCTGCTTCCCTTGCAGATGACACCCTTGGTTCCCAACACCCACATCAGACAGCTGACAACTCTTTAGCTCCAGTTCCAGGGGATATGGTACCCTCTTTCAGCCTCCATAGGTACTGCATGCAAATATTCAAACCCACATTCAGATACACATATATGCACATAATAATTAAAAGTAAAAGAATATCTTTTTTTAAAAAAGTCTCTCAGCAAAGTATTAATATCACTCCCAAGAGCAGAGATAGATACACTTGATTAATAGTTTGTTGTTGTTGTTGTTTGTCTGTTTTGAGACAGGGTTTCATATATAAGGCTGTCCTGGAACTTGCTGTATACCTGAGGATGTCCCTGAAGTTCTGATCCTCCTGACTCCACTTTGCAAGTGCTGGGATTACAGGCATATGCCACTAGGCCCTGTGCATGTGATGCTGGGGATGCAAACCCAGGACTTCCTTCACAATAGGCAAGCACTCCACTGACTGAGCCACATCCCTAATCCCTGATTAATAGTTTTAAAATTAAGTACTTGTTGAGCCTTTATTTTTTTTTTTAAAGATTTTATTTATTATGTATACAGTCTTGTGCCTGCACGCCAGCAGAGGGCACCAGATCTCATTCAAGGTGGTTGTGAGCCACCATGTGGTTGCTGGGAATTGAACTCAGGACCTCTGGAAGAACAGCCAGTGCTCTTAGCTGCTGAGCCATCTCTCCAGCCCCTGTTGAGCCTTTATTAAAAACTATATTTTAAAGTTTTTTTTTTAAATTTTTATGTGTCTGAGTGCTTTGCCTGCATGAATGTGCATGTCTGATGCTCTCCAAGACCAGAAGAGGACATCAGAGCCCTTGGAACCGGAGTTATAGATGGCTGTGAGAGGGACAGCAGCCCATGCGGTTCCCTGGTGAAAGGTTTTATGGGCACACTGTAAAAGATAAGATTTATTCCCCTCTCTAGCTCTTCCTGTGTGCCCATGTTTTCTCCTTTTGTACCCAACAGTGGGTTCTGGGGTTGGGTCTTCTCTAATGACAATCAACCTGACCACCGTCCTTTAGAACCCTCATGCCATCAGGCAGAGCCAAGCTTACCTAAAGTGGCAACTTAGCCTGAGCCTGTGTTAGCTCTGCTGCACAGGTGAGGCTACTGTGCATGTGGCCCAGGTCACCTTTCTGGAGGAGCCTGGGGTTCCATCAGTGCTCTGAGATAGATCACCTGTGGTCTAAGAGTGTGTTCCAGCCCACTGGATGCTGTGGATAGCTCCATAGGTTTGTAACCCTAAATACGGAAGCGAAGACCATGGTGGGCCAAAGGGCCCTTGACGAGGGTCTACAACACTTCCCATCTACTGTACCCATTCCATATATGGCAGTACTTAGACAGGAAGTCCAAGCTAGGTGCACATGGTGGTCCCACAGCAGGCTCCTTACATCAATCTCATCCAGGGTCCCCTCCAGGTACCTCCGCACTTGGGAGTTGATTTCAGCAATCTGGATTTCATCCATGGGGTCATAATTCACGAGGGTGCGGTTGGACTTGAAAGATGAAGAACATGTGTTAAATAAGCAACAAGAACCTGAGCCCAAGCAGGAGCAGCAAGGGCCATTCTGAGAGGCAAAGCATGGAGCTGGGGTGCCCTATCTGATGCCTGTGCTGGCTCTTTTACTGTCTGGTCCTGGCAAGGGAAGGCCTTGAAACAGGCCAGCTTCATGAGAGACAGTGGGGAAGGCGAGAGATGAAAAAGGCACTGTACATGAAGCCTACTGCTCCAAATCAGAAGTCTCAGCAAACCACAAGGTAGGGAGACACTGACTCTGCCTTGAAGACCATCAGAATCGTGACCATAGCCCAGGTAGGCCACTGGAGGGCACCACCTGTCCCACTGTGCCTACTGCTGACCCTTTCCTACTGCCTAGCTCATCCTACAGCCCCCCCCCCTTAACCCATAATGCTGTTTGCCCCTGGTCTCTGCCCCCAGCAGCTTTCCCTCTTCCCCATATCCCATCCCTTACCAGGCTATCATGGATGGCCAATTCCTGCTTGAGCAATGCCAGCTCCTTCTCTAAGTTCTTGACCATTCTCTGCCAGGGGACATAAGAAGCAGGGGAGAGGGTCATCAGAAAAACCACCTGGCTTCTTCATATCAAATGCTCAACTTCTCTTTCTTTCTCTCTCTCTCTCTCTCTTTCTTTCTTTCTTCCCTTCTTTCCTTCCTTCCTTCCTTTCTTTTTCAAGACAGCGTTTCTCTGTGTATCTCTGACTATCCTAGAACTCACCCTGTAGGCCAGGCTGGCCTCAAACTCACAGAGATCCACCTGCCATTCTGTCTCTAGAGTGCTGGGACTAAAGGTTTGCACAACCACACCTAGCCAAATTTCAATTTCTTAATTTGGACCCATATATCCTGGTAATCCATAGAGTGTGTTCTCAGCTTCTGGGACATTCCATCCTTGTTGGTGAACCTTCTCCAGCTGGAATGAGCTTGGTCTAAGATGGCTTTTTTTTCAGCAAAGGAGACTGAGAACAGGAAGCACACAGGCTTCAGGTCTTCTTCAACCCAACTCCCAGCAGCTCCAGGATTCCCTAGTCTCCCAGACCATGGCACATGTGTAGAGGTCAAAGCACACATTTCAGAACTCAGGTTTCTCCTTCCACCACATGGATCCTGGGCGTTGAACTGAGGTGCCACCAGTGGTGATGGCAAGCTCCAAACCCTCATGTATCTCAGGCTGGCCTTTGCTATGCAAGTGACAATGATCTTCAATGTCTGACCCTCCTACTTCCCAAATGCTGGAGGTATTATGCCTGGCTTACACTCTACCAACCTCCCCAGGCCTTTACCTCCCTTTTTTTGCAATGACAAACAGTGTCTCAAGGTCGATGTGTGTCCTTATAGATTTCTATGAACTAACAGCGACCTGAGACAGAGATGCACTTCACAGTCTTCCCTGCCTCTCTCCTACTGCTCTTCCCTGATCCACTCCACTCCCCATATATTGGTACACTTATGCCTCTGCATACCTGTCCCCTACGTCCAGGGACACTTTTCTCTACCATATTTCCATGGTTCATTCCCAAACATCTAGAAAATTTTCATTTAAACACTTCTAAATTGAGGTATCATAATCACTCTATTTAAAATTGTAATCTCCTCCCTACACAGCTCTTTCTAAAAATAGCACTATACATAAATACATGCATACATACATATGTGTGTATTTGAGACAGAGTCTCATGTAGCCCATGCTGGCTACAAAGTCATCATGTGGTCAATAATGACTTGAACTCCTGATCCTCTGGGCTCTTTGAGTATGAGATTACAGTCATCTGCTACCATGCTGGACTCCCATGGTTTGGATCTCAAATGTCCACTGAAGGCTCATGTGATAAAGGCTTGATCCTTGTGTTAATCACTTTTTGTTGCTGTAAAAAAATATCTGAGCAAGCCAGGTATAGTAGCCTGTGTCTTTAATCCCAGCACTCAGGTGGCAAAGACAGGCAGATCTCTGTAAATTCAAGGCCAGCCTGGGCTACATAGTGAGACTCTGTCTCAAAACAAAACAAAACAAAACAAAACAAAAAAACAAAACAACAACAACAACAAAAACAAATCTTAACAAATTGCTTTGGGCCAGAAATGAGGTTTAACATGATGTGTGTGTGTGTGGGGGGTGCTGAAGCCAAGCTGTTCACCTCATGGTGGCTGGGGAACAGAGAGAGTGAGGAATGGTCCAAGAACAAGCTACAGCTTTCAAATGCGCACCCCAGTGATTTACTGCCTCCACCTGGGTCCACCTCCTCCTCAAATCCATTTGTCAATGGATTTGGACTGGGCTGTGGCTCAGTTGTAGAGCACTTGCTGCCTAGCACGTGTGGGCCTTGGGGCAAGCCCTAGCACCACAACAAAGGAAAAGAAAAGTCAGTGTGGTGGTGCAAGCATGCAGTTCCAGCACCCGGCAGGTGGAGACAGGACAGTGCAACTGTCACACAGCACAGAGGAAAGCCTGGGCTAAAGTGCAACCGTCACACAGCACAGAGGAAAACCTGGGCTACAGTGCAACTGTCACACAGCACAGAGGAAAGCCTGAGCTACAGTGCAACTGTCACACAGCACAGAGGAAAGCCTGGGCTACAGTGCAACTGACACAACATTTTTAGAAGGAGGAAGAAGAGGAAGGGAAGGGAAGGGGGAGAAAGGAAAGTGCCTGGCATATAGAGAACACCTCACAGGTTCAAGTAAGTAAAAAAATTATAACTTTTGAGCAACAGAATTTGCCAGATCACTTATATTTGATATGTGAGTATATTTTGTAAAAGATACATAGGAATTTCTTGCAGAGACTTCTGAGGTTTTTCTTTGTCACAAAATGACCACTGGAGGGAGCTGCTGCCAAACAAGTGACCACGGCTGTGTCTAAGCACAGATCTGGTCTCCTCAGACCACAGGTCTGCTATAGGCTAGCCTCATCCAGTCACATCGCCTGAGGGCCATGCATGCTTGCTGACAGACCCCTGGCATCGTGGTGGCTCTGTGGTGACTTAGACACAAAGCCTGAGACTTAAGGAATGCAATCAGGAATCCAAATAGTGCCTCAGCCTTTTAGGAAGCCCCAAGCAGGTCTCCTCCTAGAGTGGACTGTCTCTGCTTCTCAGCCATCTCATCCTCCCCACTCTTGAGAATGTACTATGCCCCAGATACAGAAAGTCTGGCTGAGATGTTGGATGTTGTGTGTCATAGGGGACTCGTAGTCCACTCAGAAGGTGAGTGAGATAGTGGACCCTCTTGGGAGAAGCAGCCTTCAGAACCTTGAGAACAAGGAAACTGTTTCTCCTAATGCTTGACTGCCTAGGGAGCAGCTGCCTGTAAAGAGGGTTGGAGCGGCAGACCCCCCCACAGTTCAGGGTCCTGAGAGCACCTCCCATACCTACCCCCACACATAATGCACACAGATACAAGGAAAATCTGTGAGAGGCAGTTTTGCCAAGGCTTCACAGACAGTGAGGGAAGGAACAAGACCAAGGATGGTCCGATCCAGAGGCAGCAAGAGCAACAGCTGCAAACTCAAAAACACAGACCCTCACTGGGCTGTGAGGGCACACAGGGAGCTGAGACAGGAGGATCAGGAAATGGAGGCCAGGTTGGGCCTCAGCCGGGCATTGGTGGCACAAGCCTTTAGTCCCAACACTCGGGAGGCAGAGGCAGGCAGATCTCTGTAAGTTTGAGACCAGCCTGGTCTACAAGAGCTAGTTCCAGGACAGCCTCCAAAGCCACAGAGAAATCCTGCCTCAAAAAACAGGAAAAAAAAAAAAAAAGAACCAAAACTCAGCTCTACTTTCCTGCTATATCATGGTCAGTTCCAAGATGGCATCACCCTTCAGGGTTTAGAACCTAGACAGTTTAACCCATCTCCAGTAACCATGATTTCATAAGCATCTTTTTGGTTGATTTTTTAAAAAGTGTTTATTTTTATTTTATGCATATGAGTGTTTTGCCTGTGTGTGTGTGTGTGTGTGTGTGTGTGTGTGTGTGGTGTGTGCATGTGCATGCACCACGTTTGTGTCTGGTTCCCAGGGAGGAGAGAAGAGGGTGCTGGATACCTTAGAATTGGAGTTACAGATGGTACCATGTGGGTGTTGGGAATGAAATTCAGGTTTTCTGTAAGAGCAGTTAATGGTTTTAACCACTGTGGTAATATTTTGTTTGTGCTCTAACAAATAAAGCTTGCCTCAAGATCAGAGGGTGGAGCCAGCCACTAGTTAACCACTAAGGCCAGGCAGTGGTGGCACACACTTTTAATCCCAGTATTTGGGATCTCATGCCTCTAATCCCAGCATTAGGGCAGTGGAGACACAAGGAGCTTAGGCTGTCTCTGAACTCATGATCTCCCTGAAAACTGACTCCTGGCAAGTTGTCCTTTGACGTCCACACATGTGCCCACACATATACATGCACACATATATACATACAAAATAAATAAATGTGGAGGGGTTGGGTTTTATAGTGACAGGCAGGCAATGCACAGAGATAATGCATGCCGATTCAAATCTGAAGAAATCTCATGGGGAACCCTGCGGCACCCAAGTCCCTGGAACCCCACCTGTGAACTGAGTGGTAGACCATCTAGCTCTTCACTTTTGTGGCAGTCTAGCCGGGTCTCCAGGGACTGACCCAGGAATTGACCCAGGGCCCCATGCATATGTTTAGTGGAGGCAAGAAGGAAACCATACAAGCCTGGCTTCCCCTATGACCTCCACCAGATACTCAAGTGGTACAAATACAAAGGAAGCAAACCCACAGACATTGTTCCCAGAGTTGGGAAGCTGTCCATCAGTCCCTCAGTACCTCCGCATCGTACTTTTCGTTGATGGCAGGCTCAGTAGTGACCAACTTCATCCTGCTGGCAAACTTCAGTGAAGACAGCTGAAGAACAGACCAGACAGATGTCAGGTGGCTCACCACTCACATGAGACCCCAAGATTACCTTTCTCATAGGGCATGTCCTCTTTAGACTCTTCAGGTGGCCTTAACCAGTATCAGTTCACTTCAAGAGGACACTGATCCACAGGGCATTTCAGGGATACATGGATATAAACGAGTGAGTGATGTAGAACCTGATTAGCATGTGGAAGGCCCTGGGGTTCAATCCTTAGCATCAAAATATAAAATTAAAAAGGGTGAATCGGGCATCAAGGCACATACATCTATCAAGTGAGGCAAAGGATCAAGAGCTTAAGATCATCCTCAGCTACATATCAAATTGGAGGCCAGCCTTAATTACATTAGACTCAGTATCAAAAAAGACATAAATAGGGCTGGAGAGGAAGCTCAGCAGTTAAGAGAGCTTGCTGCTCTTCCAGAGGACCCAAGCACCCATGTCAGACAGCTCTCAACTGCCTGTCACTCTGACTTCAGGGGAGATCTGCCGCCCTCTTCTGTACTCTATGGTACCTGCCCTCAATGCAATACACATATTCACAGATACATGCACATATAAATAAACACAAAATAAATCTTAAACAACACCTTGGCAGTGAGGTCTTTAGTAGGGTAGAGGGCGGAGCAGTAGGAATAGGAAGGTGACAGAGGCATTTGCTATAGCTGGGACCTCATCTTGTATACCAGACCCTCTTCTTCTTCTTCTTCTTCTTCTTCTTCTTCTTCTTCTTCTTCTTCTTCTTCTTCTTCTTCTTCTTCCTCTTCTTCCTCCTCCTCCTCCTCTTTTTCCTCCCCCCCCTCCTCCCCAAGACAGGGTCTTGATGTGTAGTCCTGGCTGGTCTCGAACTCACTGAGATCCACCTGCCTTGCCTCTGCCTCCCCGATGCTGGAATTAAAGGCATGCACCACCACATTGTTGTACTGGAGGGAGGGAAAGAGGGAGGGAGGCAGGGAGGAAGGAGGGGGGAAAACTAGGACACCACACAATTCTGATGACCTGAGTTCGATCCCTGAAACTCACAGTGGAAAGAGAAATAGCTTCTAAAAGTTGTCCTCTGGCCATGTGCACCCCCCCACACACACAATAATAATGATACATTTTAATAGTGAAAAACATGCTAGAGATATAGTCCATGGATAAGTGCTCACCTAGCATGTGTGAAGTCCTGGGATCAATCTCTAGCAGTACCAATAAGAAAAGCAGGTCAGGCATGGTGATACATGCCTGTAATCCCAACATTTAGGAGGCAGAGGCAGGAGGATCAGGAGTTCATGGTTGTTTATGGCTACATACAAAGCTCAAAAACAGCTGGTATACATGAGTATATGAGACTCTCTCAAGAAATGCCATCCAAGAAAAAGAGAGGAGGAAGAGGAGGAGGGGGGGGAAGAAGAGAGGCAAAAGCTGTTTCAAAGCAGATTTGATGTCTTTGGGGACCCTTCTGGGGCAATTACGGCTACAGGCTATGAGCAGTCACATGAGTAGACACCTTGGAAATAATGACAGATGTTAGATGAGGGGCGGAGCACATGGCAGACCCTGAGAATGGAGCCTCACGTCTTGCTGGGTTGACTGTCAATGAAGAGGCCCTAAGATGAGGAACAGGCCTGGAAGCAGTGGCCCCAAGCAAGGACTGGTAAATTTCTTCCTCAGTGGTGTAGTTTGATGGTGAAGAGCTCTGCCATGGTCTTATGAGTGACCTTCCATAATTCTCCCCACATCCTTGTACAGGGATGGAGGATCTGCCTTGCGAGTCCCTGGTGTGGTTTCTGACATGCTCTGTACAGAGAGCTCAGGAAGAAGCCTAATTGTCACAGACACTAGTTTTGTGGAGATTCAAATCTGACTCCTGATCTAAGCACGACCATTGTTTTTGCTTCAGGGCACTGGTCCCTATACCCATTTACACACACACACACACACACACACACACACACACACACACACACACACACCCTTGTTGTTACATAAAGTAATACGGTGCATGACAGAAATACATTTTGAGGTTTTTGTTTTTGTTTTTTTGTTTTTTAACATTTAGAGAAGAGACTCGTTAGTATCCACACCCCTCATATACCTTTTCTCTAAATCCCTAAGACCCTTCTTCCCAGACTGTGGATTCAGGCTGGGGCAGAGTCACTGAGCAGGGAAGGAATAAGACCCTGGAAGTCTCAGATGCCAGGAGAGTTGCTTCTTGTGCTCTGACTACTTCAGGGGTAGAGATAAGGGGAAGGAGTGGCAATAAACTGGGCTGAAAGATGTATTTCTTCTTTTTTTTCCTTGTTATGAAGTAGAATTAGAGTACAGTAAAGATATATTTAAAGATATTTTAAGCACAAGAATTAAGGTATTGAGAAATTAAGACACTTATTGCAGAATAGACAATCATTCACTCAAAGTACTGAACAACTTAGGAGAAAACAGTGATGTTCACTGAATCTCTAGAATATCAGAGTAAATTTGGGCCTAGTTAGTGGCAAGAATTGCCTTCCACTTTATTAAAGATGCCTTTTACCTTTCCTTTGTGTTCTTTCTTAGTTATATTTGAATTGTTATAATTGAATTTAGAGGAACAGACAACTGATTAACCCCAAGGCTCAAGTGTTTTGCTTTGCTTGTTTTAAGATAGGGTCTCACTTTGTGGCCTTGGCCAGCTTGGAACTCACTCTATAGATCAGGCTGGCCTCAAATTTACATGATCCTCCTGCCTCTGCCTCCACCCAGCTCTACAGCACATTCTTTTATTTTTGGTTTTGTTTTTTTTGATCAGGGGTTTCTCTGTGTAGCTCTGGCTGCCCTGGAGCTTGAACTCACTGAGATTTGCCTGCCTCTGCTTCCCAAATTCTGAGATTAAAGGCATTTGCCACCACCACCACCACCACCAGGCCCAAGGCACATTCTTTGTTTTTGTTGTTGTTTGTTTTTTTTGTTTGTTTGTTTGTTTTTTGTTTTTTGTTTTTTGTTTTTTGTTTTTTCGAGACAGGGTTTCTCTGTGACTTTGGAGGCTGTCCTGGAACTAGCTCTTGTAGACCAGGCTGGCCTTGAACTCACAGAGATCCACCTGCCTCTGCCTCCCGAGTGCTGGGATTAAAGGCGTGCGCCACCACCGCCCGGCTTTGTTTGGTTTTTCAAGACAAGGTTTCTTTGTGTAGCCTTAGCTATCCTAGAACTTCTCTGTAGACCAGGCTGACCTCAAACTCACAGAGATCCTATCTCTGTCTCCCCAGTGCTGGGGTTAAGGGCATGTGCCACCACCGCCTGGCAAGGCACATTCTTAAAGTAACAGTATAATAGGAATGCTTACTACAAAGCCACCTAACTGCCTTGACCCCTGAATCTGGCATCATGTATTCCTATCACAGAAAGACATAGGGTGATCCCCAATGGGTTCATCACTAACAAGTCCCAGCATGGGTGATGACCTCCCCAAAGCTGCATGGAGAGAGTTCTCAAGGCTATCTTTCTTAATAAGGCAGGCAGCTAGGAGGTCAAAGTTGTTATAGCTCCTCTGGGGCTCAATTGTGCTTGGTTATGAGATGAGACCAAGAGGTTCCTAAAGCCTTCCCCTGGGGAGTGCTTCCTCACGTCAGCTAGAGCTCTTTGGCTAGGCTTCCCAGGTCCCAGGGCACTGAACGTGTATAGCAAGAGCATCCTCCCAGTGCTGGAACAATCCCTGATGCACACAGACTGGAGGCCCCACAGGCAGGACTTGCCTCACAGCATCCCTGGAAATGGCCCATTTCACCTAACTGAATTCTCCAGATAGCTGAAGCTTGCTTTCAACATTCACAACAGTAAAATGGCTAGGGACTGTTTTCCAAACCTGTCTTATGACAAGGGTGTTTTAAAGAGAGGGAAGACCAGCCTGGAGTGAATCTACCTATGTTACTGTGTGGGACACTCATTCCTGTCTGTGTCCTGCTACAAGATTATCTCTCTGAGTCACTGTGTCCACAACTCTCCCCTTTTCAAGCTCTGTCACAGCTCCAGCCATGTGCAGGACAATAGGCAAGGGCTCATCCTGGCCAGACCAACAAGGCCCTGCAACTTTTCTTTCCCTCTTACACCCTTCTGCAGGATGACACGAGTCTCATCTTCAGCCCTGTCATCACCTCTACCAGGGACACTTGTGCATCCTGCTGCAGCCTTTCAACACCACCCACCTCAGTGCCCACCTAAGCTTCAGGAAAAACGGTGTCGTCCCCCCTCCCCCCCCCCTCCCGGTCCCTTGTGAAGGTTTCATCCGCCATCTTCCACCCAGGACTCTAACATGACTTAGGGCCAGGGCTTCTCTTTCTGGATGGGGTTCTGATGCATCTTTACTAACTATTATTCACCCCACAAGAGCAGCACCCCGAAAACATGTTCTTTGTTCCCACAAAACTCTCACTATGCCCTCCTTGTATAAACCCCGAAGGGTAAGCCTGCCTCACACCTTAGCTTCTTCCTTAAGACAGTTTATTCCTTGGTATTTGGATCCTGGTCTCTGCCACCCTCAGCAACTGTGGCTCAGATTCATCCCTAGGGTCCCTAACAATGCCATGGGTAGTGAACCATCTGAGCCAGTCTGGATTCAGCCTTACCCCATCCCTACCTCCACTCCTCAGGCACCCATGGGGAGAAATTCCCACCTAGTTGCATTGTCTGTCTCTACATACCGTTTCTTCTAACTGGGCGGCCTCTCCATAGATGTTTGTCACAAGGACCATATTGCAGTTTCCCCCTGCAGAAAGCAGAACACAGGAGACTCCACAGTCATCTAAGTTTTCTGATAAGAGAATCTCTGAGGGTTGACAGGCTTCTGTTATGGACTCAATGTTTGTATGCCCACAATATTCATAACCTCTGAAATTCCAACTCCAAACACTTTGTCTGATGTATTTGGAGGAGGCCTTTGAGGAGTAATTACATTAAAAAAAGGTCTTGTATGTGCAGCCCCTATAACGGGGTTACTGTCTTTGTAAGAAAGGAAAACCATATCATTCTTTCTACAAGAAGCAGCTATCTGCAAGGCAGGAACGGAATTTATTGGCACCTTCATCTTGGCCTTGCCAATCTACATAACTACGAGAAACAGTTCACCATCTAAGACTCCCAGCCTATGCTTTTTTTTTTTTCTTCTGTTTCAATCTCTTTTTTGCCAGAACTTTTATTTTTTTATTTATTTTTTACTTTTATTCTTTTATTAGTTCAAATTAGGAACAAGCTTGTTTCATATGACAATCCCTTCTCCCTCTCCCTCCACTCCCCCCCAACATCCCACCTGCCCCTAGCCATCCCCCCTCCACTCCCCAGGCAGGGTAAGGCCCTCAAAAGGGCTCTCCAAAGTCTACCACATCATCCTGGGCCAGGCCTGTGTATATATATTTATATTTATATAAAAAGACCAATAATGGCAGTATGTTATGCATCAATAGCAGCAACAGCTTTTCCAGGTTCTGCAGTCATTTGAACAAAATGTAGAGACATCCAGCACTCTCCATTAAAAAAAAAAAGTAAAAACCAAAATCCCAGAAAACAGCACAAGCCTATGGTATTTTTAACAGTCCATGCTGACTTAGAGGCAGAGGAGACAATCCTGGTCTGCCTGAGGCTAGGAGGCAAGAAACAGAGAGGTAGGGATGGACAGAGACCATAAGACAAACACAGAAGGAACCAGGAGGGAACAGCAACTCAGGAGCCTGGGGAGAGCTCAGGAGGGAAGGTTCGAGTCAGGGCTTTGCTCATGGCCTCATAGAAGCAACGACCAGAGACCACTGACTGTGCCATTAGGCCCAACACAAAGCCCTAGGCAGTTGGGGATGACAAGGTGGCTCCCACTTTTGTGTCCAGGAAGATATAAATGAAAAGGGAGAGCTGGGGGCTGGAGAGATGGCTCATCAGTTAAGAGCACAGGCTGCTCTTCTAGAGGACCTGGGTTCAATTCCCAGCACTCACATGGCAGCTCACAACTGTCTGTAACTCCAGTTCCAGGGCATCTGATACCTCTACACCAATGCACAGAGAGAGAGAGAGAGAGAGAGAGAGAGAGAGAGAGAGAGAAAGGGGAGATGATAGGAGAGGCCTGTTCCCCACACAGGACTCTGCCAAATAGTTTAGGGATAAGGGAGAAAGAGAAAATGTTCCCAACAGAGGCAAAAGCTTGAGTAGAGATTCTAAGGCATGAACAGCAGGAGTGCAAGAAGGCTTGCCTGTGTGTCTGACTGGCATCATTCCTGAAGAGCTGCAAGCAAGTCCATTCCCCTGGGGCGAAATGCTTCTCTGTCCCTAATGGCACACGAGCCAAGCCTAGTCCTCCCCAGGACACAGACCCCCCTCTCTGAGGACCAAACACATCCTCACCTAAGGAGTCTTTCAGGGCGTGGGTGAGCTTGCACTGCCGGAAAGGGATGTGGTCCCGCTTCTGGTCCCCAAGGGCAATGATGGCCTGCTCCAGGAACGACAGCGACTTGTTGATGTAGGTGGCTTCCTTTAGAACTCTACCTTCTGACTGAAAACAAAATGTCCCGGTCACTCTGGACAGAGGAGGGAGGCTGACCTGTTAAGACTGTCTACACTCCCTCGTTTGCAGTGATGCAAACGTCTACAGCCAGGCTGGAGCCTCCTTCCCAGTATCAGGACCTTTCCCTCCATGTTGGCAGTAGTTTCCATCTTGGGAACTATACTGATAATGGTAATAGCAAAACTCAGGGAGCAGTGCAGTGGTGGCGCACACCTTGAATCTCTGCACTCGAGAGGCAGAGACAGGAGGTTCTCTGTGAGTTTGAGGACAGCCAGGCCTACACAAAATTTGAAGGTTGATGTGAACAAGAATACATACATGAAGCTGGGCGGTGGTGGCGCACACCTTTAAGCCCAGCACTTGGGAGGCAGAGGCAGCTGGATCTCTGAGTTTGAGGCCAGCCTGGTTTACAGAGAGAACTCCACGACAGCCAGGGCTACACAGTGAAACCCTGTCTTGAAAAACAAGAAAACAAATAAACAAAAAGAATGTGTTCATGAAATTCATACGACAGTCATCCCAAGACTCACCCTGATACACACGCATATGGATACTTGAGCAAGTATAATATTCACACCAATATAGTAATACACACACACACACACAAATGCTCCTCTAAATACTCTCATGAAATTGTTATTAAAATACTTTGCAAAAATATGTTTGAAATTAAATATATGCGTGTGAATACTCACATCCATACACAGAGAATACCATACCAGTGTGGAGCATTTACAGAGCAATTACTGAGTAGAGGTGAGGGATGATACAAGGAGCCCAAGTCTTTCCTATCAGAAGAGTGTTGGCAGGATGAACCCTTTGTGGTGAGACGGGTGATGAACCCTTTGTAAAACTATCTGTTTATGCAAAGACCCTGCTATATATTCAAAACTTGATGACCCAGAGAGGCTGGCATTTTCCTCCAATTCCTTCCCACCAATTTTCAAAACTAGCCAGTCACCAAAGTCTGTGAGGTCAGGGCCCAGCCAATGGGGAAATGACACAGCACTCTTGTGTTAGGAGAAAGACCTATCATATTTTTTGGCTGGGTGAACTTGTTACCTGAATGAAACAATATGCCCTTTAGCAAAAGTAAAATACTTGCCAGTTTACTTTCACTTTGTGTGGTACTGGTGAGGTCCCCGAAGCCCCTGTTTATTTCCAACACAGGCACTACGTTCCCTTGGAGTACAAACTGCACCCTGTGGCTGCCACTCTGCCTCCAGTGACCCATACTGCACTCCACATCACCGGCTTGTTCTTAAGCATTCAGTGTGGGAGGCGCACACACAGGCTCTATGCCACAGACCTGGGAGGCGCACACACAGGCTCTATGCCACGAGGCCCACGGCTTGGTGACAGGGTACCCAACAACCCTCACTTACCCCTGTCTTCCCAAGCCTCTCTGAACCAGCCAGATCTACCAAGTTGATTTTGGAAGTGATATACTTTTCATCTGATAAGGTCCGAGAGTGGGCCTACAAAAACAACCAAACAGAATTCAGAATGCACCAGGAGGAGTTTCTGACTAGGCAGCACCCTCAGGAGTCACCAGTCCTTCTTAGGCTGAACAAAGAACTCGTACCCACCTCCACGTAGATGGTGAAAATGCAGTGTGACCTGGATGAATTTTTGTTCATTGTGTGGGAGGCGATGATCCTGTTGGTCTCTCCCTGAAGTGGAAAGGAAATATATGCTACATTTTGAAAACTGAAAACAAGGTATCTGAGTCATTTTCCAACACTCACACCACTATGGTCAGTCAGCTGGGCCTTCTGGGAAAATGTCTTTTGAAAATAATAAAAGAGAACCAAACTGGAGTTTGGTCATATGCTTTTACCACCCAATATTTGGGGTGAAGTGTACAAACTGGTATTTGCTGAAAAGTGAGGCACTATGAGAATCAAGATAGGGGCTGGAGAGATGGCTCAGCAGTTAAGAGTACTTGCCGCTCATCCAGGTCTCGGGTTCAATCCCCAGCACTCACATGGCGAACTGTCTCTAACTCCAGTTCCAGGAATCTAGTGCTCTCTAGATCAAGTGATACACAGACATACACACAGGCAAAATGCCCAAAGATATACAATTATAAGATAAAAATAAACATTTTACAAGAAAACAAGAGGCTTAAGATATTCATGAACACTGAATTGGAATCAACTGCATATCCAACAACCAGACCTATCAGTACACAGGAATGTCAGGCAGCTAAGGAAGTAATCATAAATCATTTGCTTGTTTGCTTATTTTGGAAACAGAGTATCACTATGTAGCTCTGGCTAGCCTGTAACTCAGACCCAAACTGACTTCAAACTCAAGAGACCACCCTGTCTCTGCCTCCCAAGTGCTGGGATTACAGGTATGAGTTATAGGGGTTTTTTTAGTTAATTTTTTAAGTTAGCACATGAAATGATAGGTTTAATAGGGCATTTTTATACAGATACATCATTATGCCTTGTTTTTACTCATCACTGACAGATAGGTTTCAATAACTGAGAAATGCAGAATCTAAAGTTATACTATGGTGTAAGGCATACAAAAGCACCAATAGAAAAGCCATGCAGTGGTTAGCAACATGGCTCATCTGAATGGCCTATCCTGATCTAGGGTACCTATTTCTCCTAGAACAGGGCTCACACTGTGCTATGGTTATCATGGGTCTTTCCCATTCCCTCTCCAACCCATAGTGAACTTCTTTTATTGTAGCCCAGGCTGGCTTTAAATTCAGCCATCTTCCTGCCTTAACCTTCCAAGTGCTAGGATTGTACAGGAATGTACAATTACAATTGACTCAGTCTGGGCACTTTATTGAGAATCTGTCAAAATAAACAAGTACACAGGAGAGGCTGGAGACATGGCTCAGCAGCTAAGAGTGAGCACTATTCGGGTAGGCAACCCAAATTCAGTTCCCAGCATCCACATGGGCAAGCTCATGACCACCTCTAAGTCAGCCTCAGAGACCCAGTTCAATCTCCTGGCCTCTGTGTGTACTGCACACACATGCACAGACCCACATGGACACACAAGCATGCCTATAATTCAAATTTAAAATATTTTTAAAAAGTAAAAAGGGGCTGGGAATATAGTTCAGCAACAGAGGACTTGCCTAGCCACGTATAAAACCCTTAGTTCAGCCCCCAGCACCACAAACAACCTCATAGAAAGGAAGAGCTAGGGCATAATCTAAAATATGTTTTTGTTGCTTTAAGTGAAAAACGTTTTATGAATTTTGGCTCTTCTTCTTTTTTTTTTTTTTAGATTTTATTTATTTATTTATTTATTTATTATGTATACAACATTTTCCTTCCATGTACATCTGCACACCAGAAGAGGGCACCAGATCTCATAACAGATGGTTTTGAGCCACCACGTGGTTGCTGGGAATTGAACTCAGGACCTCTGGAAGAGCAGTCAGTGCTCTTAATGTCCGAGCCATCTCTCCAGCCCTTGGCTCTTCTTATTTAACACTAAATTTTCTAAATAAGCACATGTGAATTTTCATTCTGATTATTAAAGTGAATAAAAATATGAAAGTAGGGAAGAGGAAGAGAAGGAAAGGGGGAAGGGAGAGGAAGGAGGGAAGAAAGGAAGGGAAGGGGAAAGGAGGAAGGAAGGAAGGAAGGAAGAAAGGAAGGAAGGAAGAAAGGAAGGAAGGAAGGAAAGAAAGAATTCTCTGATCATCTCACCTCAAAGAGGAGACTGAATGCATCCTCCTCTTGACTTGTGAGATGGACCGACAAGCCCTTGATGAAGACCCCTTGAGGATTTTCCACGATGGTCATTGGTGAGACTGAGGGTCCAACATAGGGTAGAGTGGATAGGAGATCAAATAGATTCTCATTATAGATTTCCAAGTAGGAAACTCGTACAGTGATGGCATGTGTGGGGCGCTCTTCAATCATCCGAAAAACCTAGATGGAAATGTGGCCACAGTTACTAAAAGCAGAACTCCACCAGCCAGCTGCTTAATGTCAGCCCGTGTCTTTCCTCAGGAGACAGCATCAGGAGTGTAGGACAATTCATGTCCTAAAGAGGTTTATTCTCTGACTGATGCTATCATTACCAACCACTATTATTGTTAGTCTATTGGGTAAAATTATCAACTTTTGGGTTTTATTGTTTTGGTTTGGATTTTGAGGCAGGCTGGCTGGAATCCAAAATGTACCTCAGTTAATTATCCAACTCACTAGTTACCTTTCTGATTCAGTCTACCCAAGTACTGGGATTACAAGTGTGAGCCATCAAGGCTACCTATAGATATTGAAGTATTATGTTTGTTTGTTTTGAGATAAGGTCTCATATAATCAGAGTTGCTCAGGAATTCTCAATGTAACCAAAGATGACCTTGAACTTCTGATCCTCTTGCCTCCATTTCCTGATTACAAACACATGCTACTATGACTTTTTTTTTCCCCCCTTCAAAGCTGGAAATCATATCTAGGACTTATAGATACTGAAATTTTGAAATTTTGACACTGGGATAGTAAGTGTAATACTTCAGAAGAATGAGCATGGGGGTTGGGGGTTGCAAGAAAGGTAGTTTTTTGTTGTTGTTTTTTGTTTTGGTTTTTCGAGACAGGGTTTCCCTGTGTAGCTTTGGAACCTGTTCTGGAGCTCATTTTGTAGACCAGGCTGGCCTCAAACTAAAAGCCTGCACCACCAAGCTGGCCAGGCAGGAGAAAGCCTTTGTCTCCTACCCTTAACCAGATGGTCCTCACAAAACCTGGGTTAGCAAGTCCCAAGGGAAGGCCCTTCTCCCTTGTTCCCAGAGTCATGGCTGCCACAGACCTAAAGGCTCAATCATGCCTGGCTTCTTTCAGGAGCTACTGAATGGAAGAAGCCACAGCAAGACAGTAAGAAAGTTCTGAAATAGCTGCATTCCCTTCATAAAAACCAGCAACAAGCATGATTGGGTCCTCCAAATCCTTAATTACAGGCTCACAGACCATGGGAGCAGCAGGAGCCTGATTAGCATGCCTGCTGTGGCTTATTGTCTGTGAGGGGCCATCTGAAAATCAAAACCCTGGGGACGGTGACTCTACTCCCAAGCCCAGTTACAGCATTCAGAGCCTGTGCTACAGGCTCCAGAGCCTGTGCTAGTTGTAGTTACTTGAGGACTGAGCCCACTGTCTCTAATAGAGAAGTACTGGAGAGAAGAGGGTAGCTGTGTGGCATCCCAACCATGGGCCCGTTGTCTACCTGCTGCAGGGCACGAGGGAGAATACCCCGGTGCTTGTAATTCTCAGTTGCCCCCGTCATGGTGTATGTCTTGCCAGCTCCCGTCTGCCCATAACACATGATGGTACCTGCAAACATTTCAAAATATGTCTGAGTGACATTCAGAAAAATCACTTCATGGACAACTCTTGTATCCTCAGCATGCTTGGCGCCATCCAGGACTCTTGATGTGAAGGGAGCTAGCAGAAACACCCACAGATTTCAGGAATGGAAGAGGGGAAGCACACAGGGGGACAGGGACATAAGCAGTCAAAACAAGAACATGGGCCCTCAGTCTGTGATCCCCATAGAGCTTGACACTTCCACTCCAAGACCATCTGGCCCTAGTGTTAGGGAACGTTGTGGCTGGAACTTTTCTTGAAAAGAATAGGAGGGAGCTGAAGCATTAGACTCCAGTCCTTCTCAAGGCCATGAACAGCACGTGTCTCAGAGTTAGCAAGAAACACTCCACAGAGACAAATTTCCAGAAGAGATGGAGTAAGAAGGGTATTCCTGTCAATGGTGAGCTTTCTGTTGATCTATTTGAGACATGGTCTCACATAGCCCATGTTGGCATCAAGCTATGTAGCCAAGAATGACTTGAGTTCCTGATATACCTGTTTCTATTATCCCCCCACCCACCCACCCCAAACCAATGTTTAAGAGATTTGAAGGACCATAGTTAGCCATCTAAGAACCATGAGAAGCAAAGGTCTTCTAACAATCCAGCAAAGGTAAGGTCCCAGAGACTGGATAGGACCATGCATACAATGTTACAAAGTAAATGTGTGTTCTACCACCAGACCACACACTGACAAGTGTACAGTGTTAGTAAACAAACTTCTTATGTTTTATTTTTTTCAGAAAAGAGTACCTCTTGTACCTCCTCCTCCAGGAGTGCCTCCTCAGAGTCCTAGATAAAACAACAATTGATTAAATTACCATTGTATCCATCAAGGGCTTGAGAAACTGCATCCTTGGCGACTGTCTCATAAACCAAGTCCTGGGTGGCGTCATGAAGAACTCCATCCAGCTTGAAGGACCAGTCTGTCTGCTGGTTATTGACAACTCCTCTCCGAGTATTTTTTTTCAAGTGAATATCAATGCTCTGGGGGGGGGGGAGACACAGGAAGAAGCCAGGTGTGGGTGACACACACCTGGAATCCCAGCCCTTGGAAGTCTGAGTTGGGAGAATCTGGAGTTTCAGGCCAGTCTATACAGTAAGAGATGCCACATTGAAGAGGGGGTTGGAGTTATTTTTAGGAAACTTCTGTAAAAAGAATCTCTAATAGCACTCAGGAGGCAGAGGCAGGCAGATCCCTGTGAGTTCAGGGCCAGCCTGATCTATATTGAGAGTTCCAGGACAGCCAGGGCTATATAGGGGACTATATCAAATAAATAAGTAACAAGGCTACTAGGGAGACCCTGTATCAAAACAAACAAACAATCACTGGCAAATGAGGGCTAACTTATAGAAAACAGAGAATGTGAAGTTTTTAAAAAGTTTTTTAGTTTTATATGTGAATGCTTTATGTGAACGTGTATGCATGTGTGCCTGGTACCTGCAGGGTTCAGAAGAGGGCATCAGACCCCCTGGAACTGGAGTTACAGACAGTTGTGAGCGGTCATGTGGGTGCTGAGAATGAAGCCCAAGTTCTCTGCAAAAGCAGCAAGTGATCGTAACTACAGAGCCATCTCTCCAGCCCCAATCTGTCAGGTTCTAATTAAGTCAGATTTAGCTACATCCCATTCATAAGTATAGAAGCTTTGAATTAGGCAAGAGTAGCAATGAAATTAGCAACAATGGCTCTGGCTCAGGCCCTGGCTGTTTGGCTACAGGTGAGGTGGTGATGCTCCTCCGTCTTCTGCACTGTGTCCAGGATTTACTTCTACAAACATCTGTGAGTCACTGGGAGCAGGGATGGAATGGACACACAAAGTCTCTGAACTTCTCAGACACAGTCATTTGTGTTCATGTAAACTTGTGTTGGGGGATATTTGATCACACTGTGACCCTGAGTTTTCGTTTGTGCTAATTAATAAAATTAACCTTGGATCAGGAGGTTGCTTTAGCACCTGGATGACAGAAGGTAATCACAGAGCATCAGAGGGCTTCTGGGAGAGATAGAGAGGCACCGGAAGCTGTAGGGCGGGGTTTGGAGGGGCAAGGCCTTTTCTGGTTTGGGGAAGTGGAAGCACAGGTCTTTGGGACATGCCAGCAAAGAGGAAACGTTAGCTAAGTGTGACCCAGCCTCTCTGATCAGCCTGAGTGGCCAGGCAGCTGCTAGAGAAGCAAGCTGGTAACTGTGGAGTTGCATTTGCTGACTGTGCCAAAGTAAAAACAATATACTTGAGAAGATTTTCAGATGCACCTTCAACTAATTACCAGTAAGATTCCGAACTTTTTTTTTTTTTTTTTTGGTTTTTTAAGACAGGGTTTCTCCGTGGCTTTGGAGGCTGTCCTGGAACTAGCTCTTGTAGACCAGGCTGGTCTCGAACTCACAGAGATCCAGCTGCCTCTGCCTCCCGAGTGCTGGGATTAAAGGTGTGCGCCACCAACGCCCAGCTCAAACTTTTTTTTTTTTAAGATTTTATTTATTTATTATGTATACAATTTATTTATTCTGCTTCCATGTATACCTACACACCAGAAGAGGGCACCAGATCTCATAACAGATGGTTGTGAGCCACCATGTGGTTGCTGGGAATTGAACTCAGGACTTTTGGAAGAGCAGTCGGTGCTCTTAACCTCTAAGCCATCTCTCCAGCCCCAAACTTTTTTTTAAAGACATTTTTGTGATACAAAGGCTTGCTTTGAATTTAGGTATTTGGATTTTTCCTTTCAGTCTCTCAACTTCTAACCACACTATGGCACCACACCAGCTTATTCCAAGCTCTTGATGGGGACTGAAGCGATAACTGAAATCTTCTACTGGCTGCTGGAATTCAAAGTTCAAGACCCAGCCACCCAGAGAAGAACAAAACTAATGCCAAGACAGATGGGGTCACCAGGTGTGGTGACATGTACCTATAATTCCAGAACTTGGGAAGGAGAAGTAAAAGGATCATGAGTTCCAAATCATCCTCTGTTAAATAGTTTAAGCTGGGCATTGGTGGCGCACGCCTTTAATCCCAGCACTTGGGAGGCAGAGGCAGGCGGATCTCTGTGAGTTCGAGGCCAGCCTGGTCTCCAGAGCGAGTGCCAGGATAGGCTCCAAAGCTACACAGAGAAACACTGTCTAACCCCCCCCCAAAACAAACAAACAAACAGACAAACAAATAAATAAATAAATAGTCAGTTTATAGACAGCTGGGTTCCATGAGACCCTGTCTCCAAAAAAGTCAAACAACACCAGCCTGGTCTATAAGACAGTTCCAGGACAGTCTCCAAAGCCACAAGGAAACCTTGTCTCAAAACCTCCACCCCCGCTGCCCCCAAAAAATCAAAAAGTTGCTTCCCAGGATGCATGCTCTATGCTTCTGTATTTGTTGAAATTGAGCCCATGGAGGCATCCTTGAGGTCTTTTCTGACTATTGGGACTTTCCAGACCTGAGCAATTTGTTCTTGAACTATTTGTTTAAAAAAAGTTCTACGAGGGCTGGCAAGATGACTCAGTGAGAAAAGGTGCCTGCCACCAAGCCTGACAACCTGAGTTTGATTCCCCGGGACCCATGTGGTAGAAGAAAGAACCTACTCTACAATCCTGAATCCTGCAAGTTGCTCTCTTACTTCCACATTTGTGCTGCAGCATGTGTGTGTGTGTGTGTGTGTGTGTGTGTGTGTGTGTGTGTGTAAATGTGCATACAACAGCATGCGTATGGAATTTGGAGGACAACTTTTAGGAGCTGATTCTCTCCTTCCACCATGTAGATCTAGGGAACAGAACTCGGGTCCTCATACTTGGTGGCAAGCATCTTTACCCACTGAGCCATCTCTCCAGGACCTCTGGTTTTGATCCTCGAATGGCTGTTGGAAAACAAAGTCACACTGAACTGGACAAGGAAGGACTGGATAAGTGAAAGCAAACACATTTCACTTACTTTGTTGTCATCTCCATATTTGATCATGTCATGAGCAAAGTCATCAGTAGGCTTGACACGAACAAACGCTTGAACCTTTTTCCTAGTACCCATTTTAGCTAAAGAGAAGAGAACAAAAATATGTTTAGCAGTCATCATCAAATACCAACTAGACGGGAGAGGTCATTTGTCAAGATCAGAATAAAAACCTACCATGATGTGCAGGCATGCAACCCTAATACTGGGAAGTGAAGGCAGGTGGATAAGAGTTCAAGGCCAGCCTCAGCTCTCTTGTGAGCTGGAGGACAGCTTGGCCTGTAAGAGACCAGTTGCAACCCACTGTCACTACCCAACAAGGACATGTGCCTCCTGTCTTATAGGCTACTTTGCCATTTTCCACTATGATCCCAAAAGACAGAAATCCCTTTAGCGGCCTGATTTTAGCTGCTGTTTCTAGAAATGTCCTGTATTTAAGATGAACCCACTTATGCTTTGCTTCATTTGTTCTGTTTTCTCTTGACATACTTGCCCGGAATACATTAAAGCTAGTTGCCTTTTCTTCATTAATAGACCTTCTTTCATGCCTCTGTCTCTATCAGACTAACCATATGAGAATAAATTAAGTATCTTGTAAGATATATATTCATCATTATTATTACTGTGAATGAGAGACACCTGTCTCAGCATGTGGTGGCAGTCAAAGGACAACGGAGTCAGTTCTTTTTTTTCACCATGTTGGCTCCAGGATCAGACTTGTGTCCTCAGGATTCCAAAGTAAGCACTTTATTTGCCAAGCCATCTGGCTGGCCCTAGATTAAATATTCTTTTTTTAATTTAATGTTTATTTTTATTTGTGTGTGTTTGTGTGAGTATATGCAACAGCATACAAGTGTCCTTGGAGGCCAGAAGAGTGAGTCTGATCTTCTGGAGCTGGAGTTATAGGCAGTAATGAGCTGCCTGATATGGGTGCTGGGAAGAGCAATAAGCACTCTTTTTTTTTTTTTTTTTTGGTTTTTTGAGACAGGGTTTCTCTGTGTAGCTTTGGAGCCTATCCTGGCACTTGCTCTGGAGACCAGGCTGGCCTCGAACTCCCGAGTGCTGGGATTAAAGGTGTTCGCCACCAACGCCCAGCGGAATAAGCACTCTTAACCACTGAATCATCTGAAGTCCCAATTAAGAGTTCTTGATCTAGTCCATAATCCAATAGTCTTTCTTCTCTCACATTGATGAAAAAAAAAAAAAACAGTCTCTTGTTCCCTCTTGCTCTCCTAAAACCTAACTATATTCTCACCTTAAAAAAAAAAGTCTATTTTGCCGGGTGGTGGTGGTGCATGCCGTTGGTCCCAGCACTTGGGAGGAAGAGTCAGGCGAATCTCTGAGTTTGAAACCAGCCTGGTCTACAAGAGCGAGTTCCAGGACAGCCTCCAAAGCCACAGAGAAACCCTGTCTGGGGAAAAAAAAGTCTGTTTTATGTGTATGGGTGTTTTTCTTGCATAAATGTCTATGTGCAATGTATGTGCAGTGCCTGTGGTGGCCAGAAGAGGGGAATGGATTCCCCTGGAGCCAGAGTTACAGTTGTGAACACAGGTCCTCTGGAAAAGCAGTCAGTGATTTTAACTGTGGAGCCATCTCTCCATTTCCTCACTACATACATACATACATACATACATACATACATACATACATACCTATATACGTACATACATACATACATACCTATATACATACATACATACATACATACATACATACATGTGTGTGTGTGTGTGTGTGTGTGTGTGTTTGTCTTGTTATAGTATAGTGACTGAAGACAAATGACATCCTTCTGTATATATGTTTCTCTTATGGTTGACGAATAAAACACCGATTGGCCAGTAGCCAGGCAGGAAGTATAGGCAGGGCTACTAGACAAGGAGAATTCTGGGGAAAGGACACAGGGAGTGGTTGAAAGGGAAATACCATGTAGCTGCCAAAGGAGTAACATGCTGGATTACAGGTAATCCACAGCCTCATGGCAATGCATAGTTTAATAGAAATGGGTTAATAATTAAGAGCAAGCTAGCCAGTAAGAAGCCTAAGCCATTGGCCATACAGTTTATAATTAATATAAGCCTCTGTGTTTATTTGAGGCAAAGCAGCTGTAGGACCAGGTGAGACAGAAACTCCGTCTACAGACAAATATATACAGCTTTGTGGGATGAACACTTGTAAAATATAAAATAGAAGTGATAGGGAGGCAAGCTTGGTTAAAGGTCAAGTAAAGTCAAAATGCTACTTGAAAGAGATTCTACCAATTGGACTGCTGCTCTTAATTCAGAGTGGAAAAGCAAACAAGTGATTAAATGCAACTGATAATTCAACTAATTTTGTTTTGTCTTGAGACTAGTATTCATGTATCCCAGTCTGGCCTTTTAAGTTTTATTTATTTATTTTTCAAATTAAATTTTAAATTAAAGTGCTCGTTTTGGCAGCACATATACTAAAATTGGAACGATATAGAGAAGATTAGCATGGCCATTGCGCAAGGATGACATGCAAATTCGTGAAGCATTCTATATTTTTTTTAAAAATTTAAATTAAAGTTAATTAATTTAATTGTGTGGAAATCAGAATACACATTTGTGGGGTCAGTTCTCGCCTTCCACTTTCACATGGGTTCCAAGGATGAAACTCAGTCACCAGACTTGCAAGGCAAGTAACATCCTTTACATAGGAGCCATCTCACTGGCCCAAGGCTGGCCTTTAACTCCTGACCCTCCTGTCTTCACTTCCTCAGTGCTATATTACAGATGCATACTGTGATACCCAATTCATTTTTATGACTTTAAGGGGGAATGAGCACTTGTTCACTTTTTTTTTTTTTTTTTTTTTTTTTGTTTTAAAAGGGAATGAGCCTTTTTTTTTTTTTTTTTGGTTTTTCGAGACAGGGTTTCTCTGTGGCTTTGGAGGCTGTCCTGGAACTCACTCTTGTAGACCAGGCTGGTCTCGAACTCACAGAGATCCACCTGCCTCTGCCTCCCGAGTGCTGGGATTAAAGGTGTGCGCCACCAACGCCCGGCTAGTTGATCACTTTTTCCAGTGTCTCATGATATATAGTGATGATAAAGGACTAAGTACTGACACAAAATCTTCAGTGCTCTAAGGCAAGAGAAGTAAAATCTACTTGTAATAATCATTAATTCTGTTAAATCTAGCTAAATTAAACTGAGACATTTGGGTATGTACATGTGTGCACTCACCTGTGTGAGTGTGTGTGTGTGTGTGAGTGTGTGTGTGTGTGTGTGTGTGTGTGTGTGTGCGCGCACTGGCTCATGTTAGTGAGCATATGAGCTAGAGGTGGAAAAGGAATGTCTGCACTGTTGACCTCCTCCTTATATTTTGAAGCAGGGTCTGTCACTGAACCCGGAGCTCACCACTTTGGTTATACTTGCTGGCCAGCAAGCCCACAGGATGCACATGTCTCTCAGCTCCAGCATGAGCAGCTTTTATGTGGGCTCGAGGAATCCAAACTCTGGTCTTCATGCTTGAAGCGACAAGGACTTTACCCAGTGAGACGTCTCACAGCTCTAAGATGAGCCCTTCCTAAGAGTCAGATGTTGAGGCAGCACCGTGCCTGCCTAAAACCCCAGCACTTGTGGAGGCAGGATGGTCATAACAATTTCAAGGTCATTCTCCGTTGCATAGTGAGTTCAAGGCCAGTCAGGGATTAACAATGGCCTATCTCAAAAAATAATACCATTTAGAACTACTATTGTACAATGCACAAAACCAAATTTAAATACAATAAATACAGGATGTAGGCTGCACTGTATACTCCATTAGGGTTGGGCCAGTTCAAGAAGGAATAAAGCATCTTCCCCCAAAGTAACCTGCACTTTTATTGAGGGAAGGAGACAGGAGAGGAGTAGGGAAGAAGCTAGAGAAGGGAAAAGGAAAAACAAGCATCTATCAGCAAAAGAATTCACTGAATTTATGAAAAGTTAGAGACATGTCAGACAAAGGAACATGATTCAGTCTTCTAACAAATTGAAGGGATGCTTAAGGATTTTTAAAAAAACCTTTACAGGAAAACTTTCTCATGTGAAATAGAACCTCTTCTAATATTCATAAAAATCATATAAGGGGCCGGGTGGTGGTGGCACACACCTTTAATCCAAGCACTTAGGAGTCAGAGGCAGGTGGATCTATGAGTTTGTGACTAACTTGGTCTATAGCCAATGCTGTAGTGAGACTCTGGGTCAAACAAACACATGAAAAAGACATAGAAGTCTCAACAAGATGGCGTGGGTAAAGACACTTGCCATTAGGCTTAATGACCTGAGTTTGATCCCCAGGATAGTGGAAGAAAGGGCCCAAGCTATCCTCTGACCTCTACACAAATTCTTTGGCATATATGGGTGTGCGCACATGCTCGTGTGCACACACACAAACACATGCACACACTTAATAAACTAAAATAAAATATTAAAAGCGTATCAAATAAGTAATAGTAACATTTTTACATATACTTTTCTAATAGAGGTGCAACGATGTTACCTAACAAAAATTATTTTAGATTTTAAAACTATTAATGGCTTTCACATGTCTATACACAACTTGAGATCATTTCCTCTTACAATTACATTACAAATACATATGATGTTATGTATCCTACAGAAATAAATTAAATGGAAGGTGCTACTCTTCCAGCTTACAGTTTTGATGATGTGGATAAAATGAGAGCATCACCCATCGATGGTATGCACTGCAAGTCTCAAATCAAGTAAAAAACACAGTACCCCCAAATTTGCCTGTTACAGTGTAAGCATTTCCTATACCGCTTGAGTACCTATTTCATGGAAGTCTTTCCCTAGCACTCTTGTATCTTTTAGAGGTTTTTTTTGTGGTTGTTTTTAGAAAATTAATCTGAAAAATATTGGGGTAAGAAAAGAACGAAGCTTGGTTGAACCATTTGTCTGAAAAATTGAGCTCTTGGAAAAAAAATCACACATAGCTCTAATGTGAACCCCAAATTGAGGAAACCAAAGGGAAGATTTCATTTCCAAGTTCACTTTGATTTATATTACTGAGAAACTGAGAATAGAGAGAAGTGATTTGTTGTTCGTGATTTTAAATAATGTTTTCCCTGAGATAGTGTGTCACAGTGTAACCCAGGCTGGCCTTGACCTCTCAGTCCTCTTGCCTTTGCTTCCCAAGTGTTGGGACAGCACCTCCAAATGAGAGGTGTGCTTTTTACTCAGTTTCTACAGCTCTGGGAAACCCTCCCAAACACAAACCCCAACAGCCCAGCTTCCTGCCCAGCAAAATTCCAGTGCCATTGGGTATAAGCTAACATTTTCAACATGCACATGCAGCCACCTATCTATTCTTCCCTAGATAGGTTCTCCTGACTCTCATGCCACCAAACATTCCTGGAGTCTGCAAGCTGCAAGGAGCCTTTCCCATGACCTACACTCCTCCCACAAGCCTACAGCTCAACAGCGCGTCTAAGCCATGCCATTTGCACTTACTGAAATACTGCTTGTTACCGTTCTTATGTCGCTTCATTTATGTGGGCTTCAGCTCCCAAATGAAATTACAAGCTGCGTGAGGACAAGGAGTGTGCCTTTTCTCTCTTGTGATTCCCCCCACAAGGTCCAGAACAGCGCCCAGCACACAGCAGGTGCTCAATAAATGGTGGTTGGTGGTGAGAGTCATGGCTGGAAGTCTGAGGGTGACTGAATCTCCATAGGTGGGTCCATCTTCAGTCACTACTGAGAAAGTTCCAAGGTATACGATGTCACTCCTCTCCCACGCTACCTCTAACCCCTGAACTTGCAGGCTTCTTAAGAAGAACTTGATTTCCAGGTACAAGAAGCCATGTTCAGTCTCTCAACACACCCTCCGCATTAGATAGTGTATCTTTCCCTCAGGACTTTGCACGGAAGCCCCGCCCCCTCTCGTCATTTGAACAAAATCTTTGGATAAGGCTGATTGATAAAATGAACCCTCTGTGCTGAGAGATTCAGTGTTCCTTCATTTGTTTGGGGCCTGGGAAGGCCTCATGAAGACTTGACATTCGATGGGATGACTGGTAGGCACTGGCGGTCCCTATCTGCCATGCTCTTACCTGGACCAGAGACAAAGACTGCCCGAGAAACAGCAGCATCTACACCCACAACACCTACTGTACCACACCGTGAGGTGAACCCAAACCTGGCATCCAGGCAAAACCAGCCTCTCTCTCTCATTTCTCACCCTTTTGACAGACAGCTTTCCTAAAGCGTTCATGGCAGGCGAACTCGCTCCCATTCCCAGGCCCTTCTGCAGAGCTTTCCTCCTCTGCCGTTCGAAAGGATCGAAGTGAAGATGCCGAAGGTCTCTCCAGTTCGAAAACTGAGGCGTGAAGCGTCCGAATGACCCCTGACACTCAACCTCACGCCCTCTCTGTCTAGGGCGAGTCGTGGGACCCCGGGGGAGACTCGTGGGACTAGAGAACATTAGTTCAAAAACTTGACGCTCCCCTAAGCCGCGATCAGGCTTGAAGGGGCACAAGATGACACAACACGCTCTCTAGGGGTGCCTGGGTTTCTACAGAAAAGGGCGCTGGCGGCAGCCAGGGCGGATATCCGCGCGAGTGCTCTTTGACCTAACCCCACCGGCGCGTGGCTACTGCTCACCTCGCGACCTCTGTAACTGCAGCGACTCCAAGGAGGAATCCGGACTGCCTGACGACCCGCTGTGTACACGGTCGCCATGGCAACGGGAAGCTTCCAGGGACTCCGGAAGTGGTGTAAAGCGGTGGCGGAATTGAAGTCCTCACTCCCCCGTTGAAGGTACAGGCAAAGTCAGGGCTGAACGAAGAGGACCTAGATGGGGCCGATTAACCTGGAAGGCTTGGAGCACCTGCGTAGGCGAAACTGGGGTTTAGGTTGCGGCAAAAGAAGGTTATGTATGAACCAGGAAGCGGGGCATCGGGACTTCCGGTGCGTACGGCGGCCGCGCAGGGCCGTGGGATTTCTGCTTCGCGCTCCGCGCTGCCGTCAGCGTGCTCCCCTGCCCCGCCCTGGTGAGTGTGAAGCCTGCCGGCCAGGCCTGCGCAGTTGCGGCGGCCGGGGAAGATGGTGGAGGACGGCGCGGAGGAGCTGGAGGACTTGGTGCATTTCTCCGTGTCGGAGTTGCCTAGTCGTGGCTACGGCGTCATGGAGGAGATCCGGCGGCAGGGCAAGCTGTGCGATGTGACGCTCAAGGTGCCGGGGTCTGGGCGGTGGCTGACTGAAGCAAAGGGACCGGGCGGGAAGCAAAGCGGGGTGGTGGACCGGGGAAGAGAGGTTAGAGAGAGCAGGGTGGGACGGAGAGCGGTGCCAAGCGCAGAGGGGGATTGAGGCCAAGTTGGGAGAGGAAAGGGGCAGCCGTTCAGCCATTGGAAGGAAAGACCGAGAGTTGTGCCGCTGACGCCCTAAGAAAAGGAGACATTGGGGTATCCGCCTCCTTTTCTGTCACACAGACGAGAGAAAATGTTCTTGCAGCCGGTCTATGGAGGAAGGGGCGGTGGCTGACTCCACATTCCGATGGGCACACTAAAACATCTTATCTTGTCAGAAAGTCATTCCTTTGTGCTCCTTGAAGTTGGCTGTGCTGTTGTACAGGCTAATAAGCCATCTCCTCAGGAGTCATTGCCTGCCCTTGGCGCTTTTAGAATCGGGTCTGGAGATCTTTTGGTGTGGACTACTCTGCCCCACGCTAGAAAATAACCCGCAGTCACCACCAAAAGGTCCTGGAGGCCAGGCTAATGGGCTGCTTGGGGAGGGGAATATATTCACCACCTGTTCCCTACCAGCATTCTGGTCTGGTGTCCTGTGCTTTGGATCAAGCTGGGCTGCCTCTTGACTACACTGCTGAGCCAGGTGGATGCCCTCCAGGTGGGGAGATGCTACTTGCCTGTGGTTTTTCCTGCTGGACTTTGCCTGGAAGGCTCTTAGTGTGTGCCTAACACTCCCTCTTCCTGTTTCAAAACAGCAGAAAGACACAGACACCTTTTCGATTTTGCTTTCTACTTAGTTAAGGAAACTTTGCTTCTCCACATATTAGAGTCAGACTGGTAAGTAGGATGGTTAATAGTTTGGCACTTTGAAAAGCAAAGCAGTCTGAGAGTGGCTTTGGAGACAGAAGGATTTGCATGAAAATACTAGCTGTAACCTTGGGCAAGTTACTTAATCTCCCCAAGCTTAAGTTTTTCAAATGTGGAAATAAAGATGACTCCTAAATCTCACTATTAGTGAGGATTGAATGAGATGTTTGGTATTCTTTGTACAACACCTATTGTGACTTTTTCATGACCCCTGAAAGAAATGGTTTTCTATTAGAGTACTGAACTGGCCTAAGAAGGGGCAGGATTTCCCCAGGTAAAACAGGGAAACCAAGAGGATTATTAAAACTAACCCGGACTAAAGGATGCAAAAGGTGTCAAGGCCACTAGAGACTTGGAAGCTGAAGAGTGACTTAATTGTGGCAGTAACATCTAAGATGAGTGGGGACTAGTGAAAAGCAGTAGGAAGAAAGAAGTTTTGTGTTAAGATTTGGACTGGCAATAGGCTGATCAGGTAAAGGCAACTTGCTGCCAAGCCTGATGACCGGAGTTCAATCCCTGTGACCCACATAGTGGAAGGATAGGAATGATTCCTGGAAATTGTCCTCTGCCCTCCGTAAGTATGCTGTGGCATGTACACACACACACACACACACACACACACACACACACACACACACACAATAAAAAAATGTCTTTAAAAAGATTTAGGCTGTGTCAGGTAGTGGTGGCACACGCCTTTAGTCCCAGCACTCAGGAAGCAGAGGCAGGCGAATCTCTGTGAGTTCAATGCCAGCCAGGTCTACACAGAGAAACCTTGTCTGGAAAAAACCAAAAAAAAAAACAAAAACAAACAAACAAACAAAAAACATAGGTTAGAACTAAACATAACTATAGACTCTCTTCTATAAAGCCTCAGGAGAGCTCAGTGGTGCTGGGAGCCATAGAAAGGCCAGGTCTACATTTCACTACTTACAACAAGGGCTGTTCGAGTCTTACCTCAAACTTCTGGTGAATCCTGACTGTTTTTAGTTAAGCAGACACTGAAGAACCAGTTAGAGGCTTTTTGGCACGTGATGATGTAGTAACTAGTTGCCCCCCTCCCCCCCCCCAGTTAGGGTAATGGTTCTCAAACTTCGTCAGGTGGACTTGTTGTTCATTAGAGCTCACCCTAGAATTTCTGAGTCATAGGTATGGCATGGGCCCTGTCAAGTTCACCAGTGATGCTATCATCCAGTACTACATTCCAAGAACCAAGCTATAGAATAAAGTACTTGCTCTTTCAGTGTAGATGCATAATCAATAAATCTTTGTATTCGGGGATGCCCTAGTTACCCAAGTCTGGAGTCACGAGTTTATCCTGTTCAGATGTTTTTTTATTAGGGCAGTGGCAGGACAGTTGCCTGCCCAGTAGAGGGGACCAGTACTGCCTGTTTTGGGCCCCTCCTCATGACACACCTTCAGAGGAGACTGGTGTTCCTAGTGCTCAGAGTTGGAGGTTATTCTGCAGTTGCTTGACCTCTGCATTGCTCAGAATTCTCTACCGGGTCAGGCACTGGCTTGTCTGGTTTTCATCTTGTAATCATTTGTTGATGTTTGTAATCTCTCACTGTGCTGTGTTTTCGTTGGGAACTTTGCTTGATGATCTGAGATGCAGTGTGACACAGACTCTGCACTGATCTGAATCCTGGCTCTGCCACTTCATAGCTGAAAAAACTTAAATTCCTTAATGATAGGGAGTCAGTTTATTCCTCTGTAAATGGACATCATTACCTACCTGAGTGCTAACGATTCAATTACTTTATGAACTTCAAACTTCATGTAATGAATGCTCTGCGAATAGTAGGTGTTTGTGTTTTATTATCTATCTGTCTGTGTATCTATCTATCTATCTATCTATCTATCTATCTATCTATCTGTATGTGTTTTAGATAGGATCTCATTAAGTTACCCAAGCTGGCTTTCAACCATCTGTCTCATGCCTTGCCTTCCTGAATACTGAATGCTGGGGTTACAAGTATACACCAACATGTCTGTCTCATTTATATGTATGTATATTAATATATTTTTGTTTGTTTGTTTTTATGTATATGGATATTTTTATGTACCACTTGTGCACCTGGTGCCCTTAGAAGCCAAAGAGGACATTGGATCCTGTGGAAATACAATGATAGATGGTTGTGAGCTGCTGTGTGGGTGCTGGGAATCAAACCTGAGTCCTTTGGAAGAGCAGTCAGAGCTCTTAACCACAGATCCATCTCTCTAGTCCTTAATAATAATGCTTAAAGAGATAAGATCTCAATGTGTTGAGCAAGCTGCCCCAAAACTCTTGTGCTCAAGTCATCTTGCCTTTGTTTCCCAAGTAACTGGGACTATAGGGGCATACTGTTGCGTCTGATTCATTAATAATAATTTAATGATGCTTCCAGAGAAAGTATAAATAAATGTATGTGTTCCGTTTGCAGATTTTTGCTTTATCTTATTAGTGTTTTGTTGGTGGTGGTTTTTGTTTTGTTTTTTTCAAGACAGAGTCTCACTATGTAGCTCTGGCTGTCCTGGAACTCACTCTGTAGACCAGGCTGGCTTTGGATTTACAGAGATCCCCCTGCCTCTGCCTCCTGAGGGCTGGGATTAAAGGCATGCACCACTACCCTGACTGTTTGCATTTGTTTTTTGAGACAGGGTCTCAGGTATCCTGAGCTTGCCTTGAATTTGCTATGTAGCTGAGGATGACCTTGAATTCATGATCATAAGTATTCAGATTAAAGGCATGCCTCACCACACTTGGTCTAAGTGTGCAGTTTTGAATTTATCTGAGTTTATTTATGTTCCTTGCCTTCAAAGAGTTTGCAATCCACAGCTCTTCTTCAGTAGCTTACATTTAACAATTGAGACAAAGTCCAGAAAGGGCTTGCTTAAGGTCACAGGCTGGATTAGGCAAAAGTAGGGTTAGATGTAGTCTCCGTGCTCTTGTGTTGAGTCTTCTGTTGCTGACAGAGTCTGAACAGAATGATTTCAGTCACTCCTTTGTGACTTTGAATTAAGCTCCACCAGTTCAGCCTCACTCACTGTTAACTTAATGCCCTCCTCTTCCTCTCTTCCCAAGGAGGAAAGTGAGCGTTCACAGGCTCTCACACCCTCTCAGTTTACTGCTAATACTTGGACCTAGATTTGCTTTGCCTTTAGAAATATTTAAACTTAAATGCCTTAGTAGCCCATTGGATGGTTATGTAGGAGTGTGACAGAAAGGAATAATATGTTCATTTTTTAAAAATCACATTTTAGCCACGTGATGGAGGCACACACCTTTAATCCCAGCACTGTGGAGGCAGAGGCAGACAGAGCTCTGTGAGTTCCAGACCAGAGCTACATAATGAGACCCTGTTTCTTTTCTTTTCTTTTCTTTTCTTTTTTTGAGACAGGGTTTCTCTGTGGCTTTGGATTCTGTCCTGGAACTCACTCTATAGACCAGGCTGGTCTCTGCCTCCTGAGTGCTGGAATTAATGGCGTGAGCCACCAACACCTGGCAAGACCCTGTTTCTAAACTAATTGATTAATTAAAAATAAAACAAAACCCCCTTTTTATTTTTTAATAATTTGAACTTTTTATTAGGAACAAAACAGAAACCTATGGTTCTTCTCTTTGGAAAGTCTTTTCCCTTAATGGCTAGAAGGATACTACAGGACTTCTTGGCAACCTATGGGATGTTACTGAAGTCTGGATAGAGCCATTTGTATCCATGGAGGTTCTGATCTCTTCCTCCCAGCTCATCTCCATGTCTCTAACAGAAGTCCAAGGTTCAGACTGTATATCAGGTCCATCTGGGTCCAGCAAGTTGGGTAGAAGCCCACCTCCCAGATTCAGGGAGCATTCTCCCTCATGAGATCTCAAGTCAGCAAGTGGTTTGTTTCTGTTTGCCCCTCAACTCACATACCCCCTCTTTTATATTTGTGAAAGCAGAATGGGGAGAATATCACCAAACCTGCGTGTTTAGTATTCAGACCTGTATGTAAGCTTAGAGGAGAGAGGGGACGGCTGTGTGTGTGTGTGTGTGTGTGTGTGTGTGTGTGTGTGTGTGTGTGTGTGTGTGTAGGTCAGAGTACAACTTTGTGGAGTTCATTCTTCTGTCTTTACATGGATTCTAAGGGCTGAACTCAAAT